GTGAGCCATGGAGGCTTGTGTGCTCTCCTGCTCCCTTTGATCCTCGTTGGGATTACCTTCCTTTGGGCTTGGAGGATCGTCTCCTTAAGGAGCGACCACTGTCCTTGGACACCTGGCTCCCCTCCCCTCCAGGACCTCAGCACTTCTCCATCTATCCTCCTTAGCTTGCTGAAGTTTGCCCTTCTGAAATCTAGAGCTGCTGCCTTACTGCAGGCCTTTGCCACCTTGCACTGGATGGTGAATTCCAGCAGGCGATGATCACTGTTATATAAGCATTATGACGTTATATAACCATAGGTAATTTTTATCTCACATACTTACCTACAGAGCAAAAATTAATTTCTTGACCCAGCTTTTATCCAAATGAGTTTGATATTCATAACACAGAATAAGTTTATCTACTGAATGTGCATTGAAGTAGTTCATCAAAGCATTATATTAAAATATATTAAAAATATTAAATATATTAATATATTATTGTTTAAATAAATATATTGTTTATTAATTATTTAATATTTATTAAATATTAAAATATTATCAATAAATCTCTGTTGCATGAACAACATTAACTCAATGAAATTTGCAAATTCTCAGGAAGCTTTTCTTCTTGACTTCCTGCAATGTTTGAACAAAAGATCATCCGGGGTATTATTTATAGTCTGTTTTCACTTTCATACTAATCTTGTTATTCCAGAAACTCAGTCTTATTTTAACCTGCCAGTCCCCACCGGTGAAAGACAATATTTATCACATGAAAAATGGACATTAGAATATCATTTTTGAAGTGCAATGAAATGATTTAATAACAGTGTGTCTTCATAGTTCCTAAATGATTTTAAAAACTTAATGCCCCACAGGGGGTTGCATCAGCAGCGTAATGAAATGGGACAGTTCAGATTGCAACCTGCTGTGTGAAGCTCTCCCCCATGTATACAGCAGCATGACAGTTCTGTCTTCTTGCCTCTTTATCTTTCCTTTTCTCTTCAACAGAGGGTAATATCTCTGAACAGAGGGATGTCATTCAGTATCTCACATGGCCAGCTGGTGATTAATTTTCATGAAGTAAAGATCAGGTACTTTGTAGAGCTGAATCTAATACTCCAGCCTAGTCATGAAAGTCATCAAAGGATTCAATATATGACTCCAATAATAATTGGGTGTTCATACAGATAGTTACAGTTTACCATTTTATTACTTGCAAATGGCCACAATTTATATATATACCTATGTTCCTGCCCAAAGCGCCAGTGCTTTTTTGTCTATTTTATCCCATGAGTGTTTAATGTAAAATGAAAGATCATTGGGAAACAGCCCCAAAAAACCAAAGTTCCCTCTGTGCAACAGCATCAGCCAATGCACTTTGCTAGAGCCAGGTTCTTTCATGGTTGATCTCTTTGCCACCAAGATTTGCCCCATGTGTTCTTTACTTCTGGTTGTCCAATGGTTTAACTCCAGTGGGAGGGGTAAAGAATTAACTTGCCCTGCCCAGCTTATAACCAAGTAACAAGGGAATTGTTTTGGGGAATAGGAGACATGGGTTCAAAACTACTAAGGATTTAATGGTTCTAGAACCCAGATTTCCCACTTGTTGGGAAAGTTCTTCATCATTAAGCCATTGGGCAAAAGATAGACACCATTGACATTGTCTCAGATAGCTGTTACATGTGTTTTCCCTCCAACTGAGGATCTGGGAACTTACATGGCTTTCCTAATTATTGCACAGCGTAAGTGGAGTTAGATGCCTAGGTGGTTATATTGGTTACCATATTTACAGTTCCAAAAGAAAGGACACCTGTCACATGGGAGTACATGATTGTTGGGGGGGGCTGGGATATGCCAGTGCCCTGACTCTGCATATTCTGTTGCCCCTCATTTCCAAGCTACAGCCGCCCCCAGCCATGCTGTTGCCCCTCACTCCCACCCCACAGACTCCAGTCCTGCCAGTGTCCCTCACTCCCAAATCACAGTACCCTGCCCCCCAGCCCATGCTGGTGTCCCTCACTCCCAAACTACATTGCTCTCACCTGCTGGTGCCCCTCAGTCCTGACCTGCAACCCCCCTAGCATTGCCAGTGCCCCGCGCCCCTGACCCACAGTCCCCTAACCCCCATCCCCTGGTGTCCTTCACTCCCAAGCCACATCCCCCCACCCCCCGGTGTCCTTTGCTCCAAAGACACAGCCCCCGCAGCCCTGCCAAGCGCCCCTCACTTGACCCACAGACTCCTGCTCCCCCCAGCCCTGCCCCTATGAGCATAGACACTGGCCCAGCCATGCACCTCTCTGCTGCCCCTGAAGGCCCCCCCTGCCCCCTTCCCCCACTGGAGGGGCAAGTGCCTCCCCTGCCCTG